CTTGCATTATTTACTTTTCTATTGCTGTTATAAAACACCATGACTAAGGGTTACATATGCAGTTCTTGTAGAGAGGGAATGTTTATTGAATATGCCAACATGTCATGGTAGCTTACTCCATCCATGGTGGCACACAGTGACCCTCACTTCTCCTTTTTACACTTTACTGCAGTACCTTCCTATGCTGGATAGGTAACCCCATCAGTAAGTAGATGCATGTCATTCTCCCTCTTCCTTCAGATGGGACCTCTCAAATGTTGGTCACAATGCAGCTAAGGATTATTTTGAATTTACGGTCCCTCTCCCCATTGTGTGCATTATTGGTGTGTGATACCATGCCTGGTTTTATACAGTACTAAGGATCAGTCTCAGGGCCTCAGGGCATGCTAGGCTAGCATTCAACTAGCTGGATTATCTCTCTCTCTCTCTCTCTCTTTTTGGCATTTTTTGAGATGGTCTCCCTGTAGCCCCAGTTGTACTGGAACTCACTATGTAGACTAGGCTAGCCTTAAACTCACAGAGATCCCCCTGCCTCTTCCTCTGCCTCCTGAGTGCTGGGATTAAAGGCGTCCACGGACCTCTGAGTTACATCTCAAGTCCTGCTATTTTTAAAATTTATTTTCTGTGTATGAATGTTTTGCATACATGTATGTAAGTATACATGTGTGATCAATACCCTCAGAGGTCAGTACAGGCAGTTGTTAGCTACCATGTGGGTGTTGGGAACTGAACCTGGGTCCTCTACAAGAACAGCTAATGCTCTTAACTGCTGAGCCATCTCTCCTTTTTTTTTTTTTTTTTTTTTTTTTTTTTTTTTTTTTTTTTTTTTGAGACAAAGTCTCTGTTGCCCAGCCTGACCTTGTGCCTGCATTGATCCATCAGTTCTAGCATTTCAAGTGTGGGAGGAGACACGGCACCCTGCTTTCCTTCAGCTTGGTCTGAAAAGTCTTAATTTTATATGTTGAGTTACTTTAAAGGATAATAGAGTTTATATAAGGAATTTATAGTTGAACTTTAAAATTAGTTTACATTTTTTGTAATAACTTGGTCAAAATAGTAAATTGGGTCCGTTTTGATTTTCTTTCCTTTTGTTTTGGACTTTGCCTACAAAATAAAGGGCTTCATTGTAGCTACAAGGCCAAAATGTAGTCCCAGCCCTCTTTTGTGTTTCTTTCCTCCTATCCCTATCTCCCCAGCCCCCTCATTGTTTTTTAATGTAGTTTTAAAGTATTTGTGTGTGTGCGTGCATGCATGCATGCAACAAAGCATGTGTGGAGATCAGGAGACAACTTATAGACTCCTTATACCATGTGGATCTGGGGATTAAACTCACCTTGTCAGACTTGGTGGCAACAAGTGCCTTTTAACCACTGAGATATCTTGCCCTAAATTGTAGTTTTAGAAAAGCAAATAACTATACTTAATCTTCAGGACGGTTCATAGCCACCATGTGGGTGCTGGGTCCTCTGCAAGAGCAGTCAGTGCTCTTAACCACTGAGCCACCTCTCCAGCCCCTGCTTAACCATTCTTAAAATGTACAGTTGAGTAGTATTAAGCATAGTTACACTGTTGTGAAACAGTTCCTCAGAACCTTTTCATCTCGTAGAATCAAAACTATTACTTTTAGTTTTAGTAAAACAAAAACAAAAACAAAAACAAAACCTAAATAGTCTCCTTTGCTTCTTCCCCTAGCCCTTGTTTATCACAATCTTGTTTTTGTACATGCGTATTTGGATACTTTGGACACATTATATAAGTGATACCATGTTTACCCATCTGTTGATGACATTTCGGTTGCTATGAACATGGGTGTGCAGCCATCTTTGGGAGCTGTTTTCAGTTGTGGCTGTACACCTAGATGCTGGATTGATCATAGGGTAGCTACTTGACCACAGCACTCGTACCATTTTACAATCCCTCAAGGTCCTAACTTCTGTCAACATTTGACTATTGTATGATATATCTGGATTATATTTAGTAAAAACTTGATAATATTTTTTGAGTTTTCAAATTTCAGTGTCATAACAATGGCTGTCATGCTTTTTAGCTGATTTTAGAGCATGGAAGAATCATAGCCTGGGAGAAAGAAAACCAGTGGGTGAAGCTAATAGTGACAGTTAGGAGGATAGATATGCAGTATCCCCAGGGTACTCATCATCACTAGAAAAGCCATTGGAAAACATTTGTCATTTGTGTACATCTGGGGTCTGTGTGTGTGTGTGTGTGTGTGTGTGTGTGTGTGTGTGTGTTTAAGCATAGTGGAGTTTATTAAAAAGAAAGTTCAGCATAGATTCTAGTATAGGGATTAATAGGCACTCAGGAATAATAAGATACAACTCAACTTGGGTGTAGGCTTCATGGTGAATTGCCATGCTTTAGGTTAAGTGACCATGTGGAAAAAAAGAAAATGGTACCTTGTCAAGCACATGTGTGTATGTGTGCAGGCGTACTTCTAGTTGTGTGTCTTCTACTGTTTCTTCCCCAATCTCTTGGCTCTGCCTTCTTGGGCCTCAAACTAAAATCCATCTACTCTCAAATCATTCTGTGTATCCTGGTAGGTCAGCTTTTATTTCTTTAGATCTCTGGTCCTTAGAAAGTGGGCCTACCTAACATCCATTGACAGTCTAGTATAATGCACAAAGGACTTAATTGCTTAGAAGATGAGATGAAAGCTGGTGCTTGGCAGTTTAATATTTTTGTTCTGGGGTCTTTTTTGGGGGGGGGTTCTTTTTGAGACAGGGCCTCCTTGTAGCCCCAGATGGCCTGGAACTCGCTATGTAGACCAGGCTGGCCTGGAACTCACAGAGATCTGCCTGCCTCTCCCTCCCAAGTGCTGGGATTAAAGGTGTACACCACCATGCCCACCTGTTCTGGGATCTTTAAAAAATGTAATTTGAGGGCCTGGAGAAATGGCTTAGTGGTCAAGAGGCACTGGCTGCTCTTGCAGTGGACTGGGGTTCTAGTCCCAGCACCCATATGGCAGCTAACAGTTGTCCATAATTCCAGTACCAGGGTATCTGACGCCCTCTTCTGGCCTCTGGGCATTACATGACGTGGGTGCACTCACACACATGCAGGCAATACACTCATACACATAAAATAAAAATAATAAATAAAATACCTTTATTTGTTGTTTGTTTTTGAGACAGGTTCTCCCTGTAGCCCCAGCAGGCCTAGAACTCACTATATAGACCAGGCTGGCCTTGAGCTCATAAAAATGCACTTGACTCTGCCTCCTGAGTGCTGGGATTAAAGGCGTGCACCACCACTCTTGACACTAAAGTATTTTTAAAACTCTAATTTGGGGGTCTGAAGAGCTGGCTCAGTGGTTAAGACCAGTGTTCTTACAGAAGACCCGGGTTCGAATCCCAGCACCCACATGGCAGCTAACAACTGTCCATAACTCCAGTTCCAGGGGATCTGACAGCCTCTTCTGTCCTCTGTGGGCATTGCACGACACAGGTGTACTTACCTACATGCAGGCAATACACAAATACATAAAATACAAATAATAATTTTTTGTTGTTATTGAGACAGGGTCTCCCTGTAGCCCCAGCTGTCCTGGAACTCACTGTGTATACCAGTTTGGCCTTGAACTCAGAGATCTGCCTGCCTCTGCCTCCCGAGTGCTGGGATTAAAGGCATGTGCCACCATGCCCAGCTAATAAAATATTTTTTTAAGAAATCTAATTTGGAAGCATGCCTATACTTGGACTTTGGAACAGCAGTAATACTGTAATAATTCTTTACTGTGTTATGAGCTGTTAACCTCTTATTTCATTTTAATGTTTTAATCAGTATTCACTATGAATTACATGTAAAAGAGCTTTTGGCCATTATGAAACGCTTTAGGAGCTGATGAAATGACTCAGTGGGTAAAGGTGCTTGTTGCCAAGCTGATATCCTGAGTTCAGTGGTGGAAGGAGAGAACTGACCCCAGATAGTGGGGGATTGCACCAAATAAATGTAATGAAACAGTTTAGTTAGTTGAGTACCATATTTATACATACACATATGTAGCAAATATATGATGTTCTTTGTGTATGTGTGAGAGAAAGAGACAGACAAGATTTCATGTGGCCCAGGCTGGCCTCACACTTGCAGTGTAGCCAAAGATGACTTTAAGTTACAAATCCTCCTGCCTATACCTCCCAAGTAGAGTGCTAGAATTAACTACTGCCTACCATACCTGGTTTTATAAGGAACTGGGAATCCAACCCAAGGTTTTGTTCATGCTAGGCACCAACTGAGCCACACTTCCAACCTCCAATATGATAATTATATATTGGAAAATTTTTTATTATTTTTTATTTTATATGTATGAGTGTATTGCCTGCATGTGTATACGTGCACCCATGTCATGCAGTGCCTGAGGAAGTGAGGAGAGGGTGTCAAATCCCCTTGGAACTGGAGTTATGTATGGTTGTTAGCCACCATGTCAGTGCTGGGCACCAAACCCAGGTCTTCTGTGAGAGCAGTCAATGCTCTTAACTGCTGAGCCATCTCTAGCCCCATGTTTTTTTGAGAGAGTGCTTCATCATGTAATATAGCTCAGACAGACCTTGAACTCAGGATTTTCCCAACTCACTCAGCCTCCCAAGTGCTGGGATTACAGGCATATACCACAATACCCAATTTATATTAGGCTTGAATTTTTTTTTCTTTTTTGAGACAGGGTCTCCCTGTAGCCATAGGTGGCCTAGAACTCACTATGTGGACAAGGCTGTCCTGAATCTCATAGAAATCCAAATGCTGGAACTAAAGATTTGCACCCTCATGTCTGACCCTTGAATGTTGCTTTTAAATTAACTGGTTTTAGGAAAACATCATCTCCCAGGATTCCCTTTCCATATTTATACATTAAAATAAAGTTTCTTTTAACTCTTTGATTTGAAAACCTTAATTTTAAACTAGGAACAGGGAAAGAGGGAAAGGCTAGTGGTGTCTATGAAATTTAAAATAGGAGGCAGCAAATTTAACATTTTACTCTTCCTATATAGATCATGGAAGGGAAATGGTTACTGTGTATGCTACTGGTCCTTGGAACTGCTGCTGTTGAAGCTCATGATGGACACGATGATGATATGATTGATATTGAGGATGATCTGGATGATGTCATTGAAGAGGTAGAAGATTCAAAATCAAAACCAGATACCAATACGCCTCCATCTCCGAAGGTATGGGGTAGATTTTTTTTTCTATTCCTTTTAGCTTTCAGTTAAAAAAAAAAAAGGCTGGGCATGTAATTCAGTGGAAAAATGCTTATCTAGCATGTGTGAGGCTCTTAATTTGATCCCCAGCGCTTAAAAAGATAGCTTTGGCTCCTTCTCAAGGGCATAACTTAAAAATACTTGCTGGGCTCTCTTGACAGCCTTTGTTACATATTGCCAGTGGTTTATATGGATTGAATTCAGGGCCAGCTGTGAGTTTTATGACAATTGGAAACAGACCAAACTGGGTGTGGTGGTGTGTGCCTTTTCCTGGCACTCAGGAGGTTGTGACAGGTAGATCTCTGTGAGAAGGCAGCCAGCCTAGTCTGCATAGTGAGTTCAGGCCAGCCAGGGCTACCAAGTTCTAAGAAATAAGTGTTATTGAGTATCCCTCCCTTCCCTTCCCAAGTGGGTCTCCTTGTACAGCCATGGCTGGCCTGAAATTTGTGATCTCCTGAAGTGTTAGGATTGCAAACATGTGCCATCATGCTCAGCTAAATTTTCAGTTCTTATAATTTTTTTTTTTTTTTGGTTTTTTTGAGACAGTAGCCCCGGCTGCCCTGGAACTCACTATGTAGACCAGGCTGGCCTCACAGAGATCCACCTGCTTCTGCCTCCCAAGTGCTGGGATTAAAGGTGTGCTCTTAATTGACTTTTATGCTTAACACAGGTCACCTACAAAGCTCCAGTTCCAACAGGAGACGTTTATTTTGCTGACTCCTTTGACAGAGGATCTCTGTCAGGGTAAGTATTTTCAAACTTTTGTAAATAAGGTAGAATACTGGAACCCTGCCCCCTTTTTCTTTTTTAGCAATATTGAGGTTGAACCTAGGGTATCCTACATATAAAGCAAGTGCTCTACTACTGAACTATAGCCCCAACAGTTGCACCCTGTCTAGTGAAATGTCTAGCCTTTATATCTTCAGTGTCACGACCGTTATGAAAATAGTCTTAAAACTTTAAGTTTTTGTTGCTTCTGTACCTGTTTTTCTCTTCTACCCTGAATTTTATTTTTTCTCTTGAGTCTTTTGTTTGTTATTTTGAGACACAGTCTTTTTCTTTTTTTAATTGAATTTTTGTGTATTTCATACAGAGCATCTTTTTCTTTTTTTTCTTTCTGGTAGGGGAGGAAGGGGACAGGTTGGAAAGGAGACAGAAAAACAACATACAGAGCATCTTTTTTTTTTAATTTTATTTATTATTATTTTTTTATGTGTATGCGCATATTACCTGCATGTAGGTAAGTGCACCCGTATCGTGGAATGCCCTTGGAGGACAGAAGAGGCTGCCGGATCCCCTGGAACTGGAGTTATGAGTTAGCACATGGAACATGGAGTTAGCACCATGTGGGTGCTGGGATACGAACCCGGGTCTTCTGCAAGAACAACCAGTGTTCTTAACCGCTGAACCATCTCTCCAGCCCCATACAGAGCATCTTAATCAACTTTATGCCCCATTCCCCTATTGGCATCCACTCTCCTCCTGCCTCCACTGGAATTCGTACATTCTTGAGACAGGGTCTTACTGTGAATCTAGGTTAGCCTGGAACTGTGGCAATCCTTCCTCAGTCTCCTGAGTACAGAGATTATAGGCATGAGCCACCACTCATAGCTCTGGTGAGCCTTAAAGTAGAATAATCTCAAAGTCAAATATGATGCGTTATCACTGTGACAGCCTAAGTTGAAAGTGGATTGGTTAGGCAGGCTAGTAAGAGCAGGAAAAATGCTTCTTTAAATAGGCATTTTACTGTCTCATTACACAGGTAACTACTACTCGAATCTTAATACTGGGGTTTGTCTTAATTACAGGTGGATTTTATCCAAAGCCAAGAAAGATGACACCGATGATGAAATTGCCAAATACGATGGTGAGAATTTAATTTTTTTCGATACATTATTAGATTGAGATGATACATTGTCTCCTTGGTATCTTTTTAAAAATATATTCTTACTATTTTGAAAACTTCATACATGTAATATATTTTGATCATATTTACCCCCTATTCTCCCTGACTCATCCAGATCTATCCCCACCCCAAACCCTCCCACTTAAACCCATTGATTCCAATTTGTCCTTCCCATATACTCATGGCTCTAGGGCCATCAGCTGGAGTGTGGTCAACCACTAGGGTTCATGGTATCTCTTAAGATCAGTTTCAAAAGAGAGGGTTTCAGATTTTTTTTTTTTTTTTTTAAGAACCATATTCTACCATTTGACAGATACACATGTGCTTTGTAATTATAGCTCAGTTCTCATAGATAAATTGAATATGGCAAAAATTCATCACTATGATAGACTTCTACAACTTTGAGTTTAGTTTGTTATTTAAAGGACCTTAAAAGGTGCAGTGAAACAGTGGAGAACATTTTTATGTTGTCTTGTAGGAAAGTGGGAGGTAGATGAAATGAAGGAAACAAAGCTTCCGGGGGATAAAGGACTTGTATTGATGTCTCGGGCCAAGCATCATGCCATCTCTGCTAAACTGAACAAACCCTTCGTGTTTGATACCAAGCCTCTCATTGTTCAGTAAGTGCATTGTCTGCTTGGGAGAAGTTTTCTAGAAAGGGTAATCTCAGGTGACAGTATAAAATTATTACTGTACATTAAAAAATCTTGAACCTAGGTGTGGTGGTGCACACCTTAAATCCCAGTTCTCATGAAGCAGAGGCAGGTGGCTCTCTTAGATCGAGGCCAGCTGGGGCTACAGGGAGACTACTCTGTCTCAAACAGATAAACAGAAAAAAACACCAATAACAAAAAAATAAGATACTTAAAATAGGAATGTTGCTAAATTTAAACATGTTGAATTTTTCTTTTAACTGCCCAACAAATTAGTTCATCATCCTGCTAGCAAACAAACGTCTGGCTATTGCATTAAGGTTTAATTTTGTTTTGTTACCTATTTTTGTGGGGTTGGGTGGTCACATGAAAGCAGTAGAAGAGGAATCTTCATGGAGATAAACATGACCGGTTTGGGAGAAGAAATTGGGAAATTTGGTCTTTCAAAATGGCATAAAATTTTTTGCTTTTATTTCTGAAACCAGGTATGAGGTTAATTTTCAGAATGGAATAGAATGTGGTGGTGCCTATGTGAAGCTGCTCTCTAAAACACCAGAACTCAACTTGGTAAATTCTTCTGTTTGTTATGTGGCTGGACACACAGAAGTATGTTTTAAGAATATTGGGGCTGGAATATAAGTGGTAGAATATATGCCTGCCATTCACAAGGCCTTGGGTTCAATCCCCAACACTTAAAAAAAAAAGGTTTGCAAGACCTATGAAAATAAAGACTGCTTTGCTATTGATATTTGCAGGATAGACAATAATAATGGCTTTAACCCCAGAATGCTTTTCACTTGAAATGTGACCTTTGAAGCTGTTACCATCTGTATATTATGTTTCTCATCTGTGTAATTTTTAGTTTCAGCAAGCTTATTTGTTTTACTAAAGAAGTAGTAGCTAAATGTACACATTACTTTGTTTTCTTAAGAACCAAAGTTTATTATTTTGGAATATTTCTGGTGAGTGGTAGAACAACCCTATAAAACCATGAGGTTTGGTTTTTTGTTTGTTTGTTTGTTTTAGCTAGTGACCCATCTGTTTGGAGTTTATACATTTGTAAGAAAGTATCATACTTTTCAAAAATTACTTTTAAATTCTTTGACTAGAGATACTTAAAATAATCCTTCTTTGTTTCTGAAGGATCAGTTCCACGACAAGACTCCCTATACTATTATGTTTGGTCCAGATAAATGTGGAGAGGACTATAAACTGCACTTCATCTTCCGCCACAAAAACCCCAAGACAGGTGTATATGAAGAAAAGCATGCTAAGAGGCCAGATGCAGACCTGAAGACCTATTTCACTGACAAGAAAACACATCTTTACACATTAAGTAAGGAAAACCAGTTGTTTAGGGTTTTAAGGCATTAGTGTATTTACAAATAAGAACTTTTTTTTGGTCTTTTTGATACAGGGTCTCTCTGTAGCCCCAGCTGGCTTGTAGACCAGGCTGGCCCAGAACTCACAGAGATCAGCCTGCCTCTGCTTCCCAAGTGCAGGGATTAAAGGTGTGTGCCACCATGCCTGGCTATAAGAACTTTTTTTTGTTTGTTTTGGGGTTTTTTGGTCTTTTTGAGACAGGGTCTCCCTGTGGCCCCAGCTGGCCTGGATTCGCTATGGAGGCCAGGCTTAGCTGGTAGAGTGCTTGCCTTAGCATGAAGCCCTGGTTTGGTTCCCAGCACTGTGTAAAACTGGGCATGATGATGCATACTTTTCCAGTCCCAGCACTGGGAGGTAGAGGCTGAAGGATCAGAAATTCAAAGTCATCTCGGTTGCACAGCTATTTCAAGGCCAGCCTGGGATTCATGAGACTTTTTCTGAGGTTGAAAAACTCTTACTGTGTTAGTGGTAGAATGAGCTTAATTGGTCATCACTAAAAAAGCTTCTTAGCTGGAAAGATGGCTCAGTAGTTTAGAGCACTTGCTAATCTTCAGAGGACTGAGGTTTGGTTCCCAGCTCCCATATGGTGGCTAATCTTTATGGTGGCTAATTTCTTTAAAAATTTAAAGAAGGGCTGGAGAGATGGCTCAGAAGTTAAGAGCACTAGCTGCTCTTGCAAAAGACCTGAGTTTGAACCCAGGCACCCACATGATGGCTAACAACCTATCCATTAACTCCAGTTTCAGAGGATCTGACACCCTCGTCTGACCTCCTTGGGCACTACATGATACGAGTGCACTTACTTAACAACATGCAGGCAATATACTCATACACATAAAATAAAAATAATATTTTTAAATAAATAAAAATTTAAAGAAGACACTTAAAATCATCTAGAACCACTTAGGAGGCAGAGGCAGGCAGATCTCTGAGTTCGAGGCCAGTCTAGTCTATATAGCAAGTTGTAGGCCAGCTGTGGCAATAGGGAGACCCTGTTTCAAAAAGACCAAAAAAAAACCCATCAACTTTGTAATATATAGTTCTTTGTGTATAAACACACAGGCAACATTTTATCTTGCTTAATGTTGCAAGAGTGTGAGGATATTTTCCATGATAGTATATGTCTTCATTGTTGATAGCATTGGCGTAGTAGTCCACTGCCTATGTAGGCATGGGCTATAGGCTTCAGCACAGTTAAGATGCTTTGAGGGTTTAAAATTGTGTTCATTCTCTCTCCGTTCTACCACAAAATTGTGTTCATTATCTTTCCATTCTACCTCAGAAGTACAATCACAGGGCTGGGGGTATAGCTTAGGATGTGTACCTAGCATGTTTATGTCTCCAAACCCCACAAACAAATGAACAAAAAAACCTTAAATCTTAGCCAGGTGTGGTGGTGTAAACCCTTAATTCCAGTGCTTAGGAGGCAGAGACAGGCGGATCTCCAAATTCAAGGCCAACCTGAGTTCAGGACAGATGGGGCTACAAGGAAACCCTGTCTCAAAAAAAGGGGGTGGCTAGGGGCGCTGGAGAGATGGCTCAGTGGTTAAGAACACTGTTCCTGCAGAAGACCTGGGTTAGAATCCCAGCACCCACATGGCAACTAACAACTGTCTGTAACTCCAGTCTCAGGGGATCCAACAGCCTCTTCCGACCTCCGCAGGTATTGCACGACACGGGTGCACTTACATGCAGGCAATACATGCATAGACATAAAATAAAAATAATAAATTTTTTTAAAAATTAAATTTTAACTGCAAACCAGTGCTTAATTGTGTGGGTGAGTGCATGTTGAGGAGATTAGAGGACAACTTTGGGGGTTTGATTCTCTCCTTTATGTGACTTCTGGCGGTAGATCTCAATTCTTTGGGCTTAACGTAGCAAGTGCCTTGACCTGCTGTGTCAATCCACCACCATGGTTTTTCTCTCCCTCCCCTTTTTTTGAGACAAGGTCTCACTTTACTTTGGCTGGCCTCAAACTCCCTAAGTAGCTGAGAGTGACTTTGATTGTCCTACCTCTACTACTCAAGTGCTGAAATCACAGGAGTATGCTCCAATGTCTAGATGTTTTTGGATTTTTGAGATAGAGTCTTACTATAAGGCCTAGCTGGCCTCGAATTTTCATTCTTTGCATTGTCTACTGAGTGCTGAGATTGGAGGTATGCATCACCTGACTAGCATGGTATAAAAATTTCAACTGTTTGACCAGCGATATAGCTCAGTGATAAAGAGTGCTTGTCTAGTATGTTCAAGGCCCTGGGTTTAATCCCTAGCATTGGGGGAGAAAGTACTTTATTAAACTATGATTTACCTAGAAATCATGTTGTGGTTTCTAGAAACATAAGAAAATGGCATTGGGGCTCCAGTACCCGGCAGCTTTTTGCTCTGTGCCTCCACAATGGTGCTTTCTCTAGACATCGTGATCTTTTGTGCTATATTGAAGAGAACTTATATTGCATTTAATTTCTTTTCAGTTTTGAATCCAGACAATAGTTTTGAAATACTAGTTGATCAGTCTGTTGTAAACAGCGGAAATTTGCTTAATGACATGACTCCTCCTGTAAACCCTTCACGTGAAATTGAGGACCCAGAAGACCAGAAGCCTGAGGACTGGGATGAAAGACCCAAAATACCAGATCCAGATGCTGTCAAGCCAGATGACTGGTAAGTCTTGGGGATCTGTCTTTGAGTATTAGCAAATATATTTTGTATATTCCACGTGGCTGTGTAGTCAAAGATAATCTTGATTTTCTGATATTCCTGCTTCCTCCCCAGACTGAGATTACAGGCTTGAGCCCCTAGGTCCTGTTTACAGAGTACTAGGGATCAAATCCAGGGCTTTGTGCATGTTCGGCAAGCACTTTACCCCTGAGATACATCCCCATTACTTCCAGTCTGGTTCTGAAACAGGTACAGAAATGTCTATAGTATGGCAAATGATCTATGAGAACATGGTACTGGGTGACCAGAGTACTAGATGTGCCTAACCCGGGCATGGTTGCTCAAAACAAAGCAAATTGAAATCTGAAAGCATTGTGGGAGTGAGTTAAGTGGTGAAGATGGGAAAGAGCATTCATTATGTATAGAAGTAGTAGAAAAGTTGAACAGACTTAACTGGTGTTTACTGTTTAAGGGATGAAGATGCCCCCGCTAAGATTCCAGATGAAGAGGCCACAAAACCTGAAGGCTGGTTAGATGATGAACCTGAGTACATACCTGATCCAGATGCAGAAAAGCCGGAGGATTGGTAAGAATTTGAGTTGGCTTTTAAAATTACCTGGTTTTTAAAAATATAAAATAGTACAGCTAAGTGCCCAAGTGGAGAATACTATAAATTTAATTGCATTTCATTGCTTTTTTAAAAAAAAAATGCATCAGTTAGGAAAGGCCATCATTACTGGAAGTAAGAACTGAGCTGGTATTCTGGTGTGGCTGACAGCATTCCAGCATTTCCAGGGAGCACAGTCTGCATCCTGGAACTCATTTGTAGCTTCTTGTTTTAACCTCCACAGGGATGAAGATATGGATGGAGAATGGGAGGCTCCTCAAATTGCTAATCCCAAATGTGAGTCGTCCCCTGGGTGTGGTGTCTGGCAACGACCTATGATTGACAACCCCAATTATAAGGGTAAATGGAAGCCTCCCATGATTGACAATCCTAACTACCAGGTTGGTACCTCATGATAATTGAGATGCTTTCATTAATCTGGTATCCTGGTAGAAGTTTTATCCATAGTGAGGCTGCCAGGTTTGCTGAATGTTCAAACTACTGAATTAAGAACACACAGTTTAAAAAAAGAAAAAAGTAAGGGGCTAGAGAGATGGCTCAGCAGTTAAGAGCACTGACTGCTTTTGCAGAGAACCCGGGTTCGATTCCTAGCACCCACATGGTGGTTAACAACTATCTTTAGCTCCAGTTCCAGAAGATCTGACACCTTCTTCTGACCTACGGGCATTGCATGACACAGGTGCACTTACACATGTGCAGGCAATACACTCATACACATAAAAATAATAAAAAATTTTTAAAAAGAACAGAAAGGAAATTTAAGAGATAGGTGAATGAGTTAAATGATATAAAGACAAATTGGAAATGGAAAAATTGGACAAATTGGAAAAAATTTTGTAATTGCTTTGTGACTTAGGTTTAAAAATAGAGTTGTAAAACTTAGGATATGGGTACCTTCCTGTTGAGTGTCAGGGGTGCTTCAGTCAAAGGATCCAGATCTTAAAATTGGCAATTGGTGGGAATCAGATCTAGTAATATAAAGAAAGACAGGCTTATATGAAATGGCAGGAGTAAAGAATGGTTGTGAACCCCAGGTGGGCTGTGGAACAGTACCCACTTTACTTTGCTTTGGTTTCTAAACTAATAAAACTATTTATAATCATTTCCACTTGGTCAAACTTTAAAGATAGAAGGTGTAGGTTGCTCCATCTGTATGCATATACTATGTATGTTTTTCTGTTGTAAAATATTCTTAGTTGTGCCGGGCGTGATGGTGCTCGCCTTTAATCCCAGCACTCGGGAGGCAGAGGCAGGCGATCTCTATGAGTTCAAGGCCAGCCTGGTCTTACATAGTGAGTTCCAGGACAGCTGGGGCTACAGGGAGACCCTGTCTCAAAAGACCCCCCCCCAAAAAAAATTTCTTAGTTGTGTACTTAAAATGAAATGAAAATTATATTTTAACTTGCGTTTAGCAATCTGGGCATCATAGTACACATTTAATAATTCTAACACTTGGGATGTAGGGCAGGAGGATCAGGAGTTCAACTTTAAGGCCATCCTGGGCTCTAACAAAGAAACCAAAATTAGCTGTTATTCTGGTAGTTGCTTGATGAATCACATTTTGTTGGGACAGTACTGGAATTGAACCAGTGCTCCATGCATACTGGGCATGCAGTGTGCTGCTGAGCCATATCTCGAGGCCATCTTTTTTTTTTTTTTTTTTTTTTTAATATATTTTTTATTTTTATTTTATCTTATTTTTTTTTATGTTATGCCTGTATTGCCTGCATGTAGGTAAGTGTCCCGTGTTGTGCAATGCCCGCGGAGGTCAGAAGAGATTGTTGGATCCCCTGGGACTGGAGTTATGGACAGTTGTTAGCTGCCATGTGGGTGCTGGGTCTTCTGTAAGAACAGCTAGTGTTCTTAACTGCTAAGCGATCTCTTCAGCCCCGAGGCCATCATTTTTGTTTTAGAATCCTTACACAAGTCTGGATGTTTGTAGTTTGAACTTTTCTAGTTGGTATCTAGAACTAAATTACTGGTTAAAAACTTACTTTAAATCATCACTGGGGAATGGCTATCCTGACTTAAGCTTCTACTTCACCAACATCTGGAAAGGATGCACAGAGCCAGGTGTTGGCTTAGAATAAAGTCAAGGAGATTAGAATAGAAATTTTGAAACTAGGTAGAGTTCAGAAATCAGAGTGTTTAAAAACATCACTAGCATCTGTTGTTTTCCTGCTACTTAAGTTTTAGTGTTTTGGTCATTATCTGAAATAATGTAATAATGTTTTGAAACTTTTTTTTTTTTTTTTTTTAAAGGGAATCTGGAAACCCAGGAAAATACCAAATCCAGATTTCTTTGAAGATATGGAACCTTTCAAGATGACTCCTTTTAGTGCTGTTGGTTTGGAACTGTGGTCCATGACTTCCGACATTTTTTTTGACAACTTTATCATTAGTGGTGAACGCCGGGTAGTTGATGATTGGGCCAATGATGGGTGGGGTCTGAAGAAAGCTGCTGATGGGGCTGCAGAGGTTAGTGCTTGTATATTTCTTGTGCATTTATATCTGCTTGGGGGTAGAACTGATTGCTTTGTGAAAGGCTGTTTTTTAATGTTGTCCTTTTCCTAAACATTTACTTCAAAAAATACAACTTGATGCCTGCTAAAGATAAAATACTAGGGATTTAGACCTGATTTCTTTAGACTCAAATACTGGCTTTAGAATCTGTTATGTGGAGGGTGGGTGTGGGGTGGGTGTGGGTGTCTCAGTTTACCATTTAGGATATGTTTTAATGCACTTAAAATGTTGAGTCTTGGTTTATTCCATTTATGCAATTTTTAAGTAAGTAGTCATGACTGAGCTGGGATTTGGAGTGCCAGAGATCAAGAAATTTTCATTCTCTGTTTACTGAGTAAGGAACCTTTTTGCAGGTTATTACAAAGCCAGCTTTTGAACCTATGAAAGTATAACCTCATGGTGGTGATAACAGAAAAATGGAGGCTTTCCCTATGTTCCATGTTCCTTTTAACATCTTAGGTTGACCCTTTGGAAAAGAAGGAACCTAAGGAGCACCTTAACTGAACATGGAACCATTGATGTCATCGATAGTTGGTGTCACAGCCGGTTCTCTGTGTCATTGTTTTGTTTTTCAGCCAGGTGTAGTGGAGCACATGCTGGAGGCAGCTGAGGAGCGCCCATGGCTCTGGGTGGTCTACATTCTGACTGTAGCTTTGCCAGTGTTCCTTGTCATCCTCTTCTGCTGTTCTGGAAAGGTAGGAATGTTTCTTGAGAGTCACTTTTAGAAAGAACTCTTGTGGTATTAATTTATTTTTTTAATTTTATTCTTATGCGTGTATTGTCTGCATGTAAATAAGTGCACCCGTGTCATGTAGTGCCTGCGGAGAGCAGAAGAGACTGTCAGATTCCCTGGAACTGGAGTTACTGACAGTTGTTAGCTGCCATGTGGGTGCTGGGATTTGAATCTAGGTCTTCTGCAAGAACAGTCAGTGTTATTAACCGCTGAGCCATCTCTCCAGCCTTGTGGTATTTATAAAATAACTAAAATGGTGGTGCACACCTTTAATATCAGCACTCAGGAGGCAGAGGCAGGAGGATCTCTGTGAGTACAAGACATGCCTGCCTGATCTGCTGGGCGTCGTGGCGCATGCCTGTAGTTCCAGCATTTGGGAGGCAGAGGCAGGCAGATCTCTGTGAGTTCGAGGCCAGCCTGGTTTACATAACGAGTTCCAGGCCAGCTGGAGCTACAGGGAGACCCTGTCTCAAAAACACCAGGAAAAAAAAGACATGCCTGGTCTACATAGCAAGCTCCAGGCCAGCTACAGGGAGACCTTGTCTCAAAAAGACAGAAAAAGAAAACAACACTAAAATGTAGTGCTTGAGATTTCCTTTGTAGCAGTTGGGTAATATTTTGCACTGACTTAAAACCTTAGTCACTGCTCCTCAGCAGCCATTCATTGCGCTCTGCTGGAAACAGGACTTAATTACTCTATTACTCTACGTAATATTTGGTGGCAGCTTTTTCTTTTAAACAGAGGAACAACTTAGATATAATCTATAATCAGCTATCTGGGGCACAAACCAGCTTTTCATCCTGGCACTGTTATTTCTATTCTTATGTTTTATAATTAGATCTTTGATTATTCATCTGTTGCTTTCTCAAAAACAAGATACATGCCTGTTGTGGTGGCATACACCTTTAATCCTAGCACTCCAGAGACAGAGGCAGGTGACTCTCTGAGTTTGAGGCAAGCCTGGTCAACATTGTGAGTTCCAGGCCAGCCAAGGCTGCATAGTGAGACCCTGTCTCAAAACAAACAACAGGGAGAAAAAAAATCCAACAAAAAAATACCTGCAGATTCTACAGTCTCATTGTAAGATTTTCTTGTTGAGAACAATGTTGTCTTTCCAGCCTTACCCTTGCCACTGTTCAGCATATCTGTACCTGGGTTAGTGTATCTTCCTCATCTAAATATTTACCCTCTATGCAGCCTGGCTAATTATTTTGCTTGTATACATTCACTAATTATATGGTAATGTATATGTGACTATGTGAGCACAGGTTTAGTACTCTGGACAATTTTTCAGAAACAGTCCAGTGCTATGGAATACAAGAAAACTGATGCTCCACAACCAGATGTAAAGGAGGAAGAAGGCAAGGAGGAGGAAAAGAACAAGGGAGATGAAGAGGAAGAAGGTGAAGAAAACCTTGGTAAGCAGTGCCCAAAAACTTCAAAGACAGTTGTTTTAAAGTTACAGTAAAGATTGTTTTAGATGATGCTAATTATGATCAAAACCAAATACAAGAGTTTGCTGAGTTACTTTACTTTTTATCTTAGAAGAGAAACAAAAAAGTGATGCTGAAGAAGACGGTGGTACCATCAGTCAAGATGAGGAAGATAGAAAGCCTAAAGCAGAGGTAAGAGAAAGAACTAACAGCTCTTATACTAGTCACCTAGGCTAAGAGTATATTTAGTAAAGGGGATAGTTTCACATATTAACTTAGAATAGCTGTGGCAATAAAACTTATTAAATGAGCCAGTTTTACTAAATGAATAAAAATGGTCAGCTTTTTATTTGATAATTTGAAACTACATTTTAATCTCAAAGTTCTTTTTTGCGTGGAAGATGGTTAGATTAGTTACTTTCTGTTGCTATGATAAAATTCTAGGACCAAAGGCAACTTAAGAAAGAGTTGATTTTGGCTTAATGGTTCCAGAGAGCTAGTTTTTCATGATGCTGGGGAACACATGGTGGCATGAGTTAGGATGCTAAGAGATCACATAGTAAGTAGTGAGCATGCAGGAAATGGAGTGAGGCTATAAATCTTCAAAGCCTGCCCCAGTGATGTACATTCCATTAAGGCTCCGTTACCTCCTCAAATAGTGGGGAGGCAAAGTATTTACATACATGAGCCTGTATAAAGTTTTTTGTTTTTTTTTTTGTAATAAGCAGAAGTTTAAGGAGAGAAGTAAAATGCTTTCTGAGATGGAAACATCAAGTTGTTTAACAGCTACTGGACTATATCCCCAGCCCTTGCCTGTTTTTTGTTTTGTTTTGTTTTTTTAATATTTACTATTTTTTCTCTCCCTTAAAGATCTACTCTCCACCCAGCAGTAATCAGTTGCCAATAATTCCTAAGCTACAGTTGCAGCCTGCTGCCCATTTTCCTCATTGTATCCTGGGTTTTTGTCTGATTGAGTTGGCACGGGTCTTGTGCATGCTGTCACCATTGTTATAAGTTCATATGAGCAAGGTCCCAGGAGCCTGTAAGGCTGTTTCCATATGCTTGCACCTCCTCCCTGGCTCTTTTTTTTTTTTTTTTTTTTTTTTTTTTTTTTTTTTTTTTTTGAGGTAGGGTCTCATGTAGCTCACCCTGATCTCAAACTTATTATGTATCCTGATCCTCATGCCTCAACCTCCCAAATGCTGGGATTATAGTTTTGTACTATCACATCTGGCTGTATTTTTTTATTTTAGAAACAGGTATTTGCTAAGTTGCCTGGGTTGGCCATGAACTCACTCTGTAGTCCAGATAGGCTTTGAATTGCAATCCTACTTTAGCCTCTTGAGTAGTTGGGATTATAGGTCTGTACCATCAGGCCTAGCTATTAAAAGTTTGGGATAGAGTAGAAGCCAGGCATGGTGGTGCATGCCTTTGATCCTAACAGACACAGGCAGATCTCTGAGATGCAGGACAGCTGGGACTACGGGGAGATCCTCTTTCTCCTCAAAATAGAGCTAAGGTGCCAGGTGTGGTAACACATACCTTTAATTCCGGCACTTGGGAGGCAGAGGCAGGCAGATCTCTCAGAGTTTGAGCCCATCCTGGTCTACATAGTGAGTTCCAGGCCAGCTGTGGCTATAGAGACCCTGTCTGAAAAAGACCCAAAAAAGCAAAAAAATAAAAAATAAAAAGCTAATGTTCCCATCAGAAGTAGGTTAAGATTGTTTAGCAGTGTTCCTAAACCAGGCATAGTGAGTGGCACATACCTGTAATCCCAGCGTGAGTTTGAGACCAGCCGGGGCTACACTGAAATCCTTTCTCTAACAAACAAAAAAACAAAAGAAGGTGTTGATGGGTTTGAGGAAAGTACATGTTTTTAGAAAATAAATACTAAAATTAAGTACCTATAATCTTTCGTTTTTCCTCAAATGGATTACTTAGTCTGAATGGTCTTGGAAGTTTGAACTTTTACTTCTGTTTTTAAATATGTTAGTTACACGCTGAATTTCTTTTCTTTTCAATAGGAGGATGAAATTTTGAACAGATCACCAAGAAACAGAAAGCCACGAAGAGAGTGAAACAGTCCTAAGAACTTGATCTGTGATTTTCCTCTCCCTCCCCTTCCCCTGCAAGTGTGTCCTAGGAGAGGACTTGGTGTACCTTAGGTTGAAACTCAGAAAACCTCAAGACGTCACCATCTACAGGTTCCAGTCGAACACTAGTCTGTGTAATTTTAAACATCTAGCAGTAAATAATTGCAGTTGTAACATAAAGGACCCCATTTCTGTAGAAAACATTTAACAATGGTTGTGAAATGTAACATAAAGCAACTAACTTGTATTTTTGTTTTTAAGAATTTTTTTTTTTTTTTAAGATAAAATTTTTGCCGGTCTAAAATCTTGGCTTAATTTAATATGTTAACCTGTCCATCCAGAAATAACACCAACATTTAGAAATGCTAGGGGGATGAACTGCAAACTTTTTTTAGTTGGTATTACAAAATAGTCAAATGTCTCTGTCCCTAACATTGATAAATCATGTTTAAGTGCAGTCATTTGTGGTTATAATCTTGTTTTGTGTGCTTCTATTACTCAATTCCTCCTAAAGAAATTGAAGAGAGGTATTGGATGGAAGCCCACATTTATATCAAAGTTCTCTTTAAGTTGTATTGAAAGTAGACCAAAAAAACCCCTCACGAAACAAAAACAGACTTTTCACTTGATGTTGGTTAGATCATAAAGTTCACGTGCTCAGTTGCCCTTGGAACTGCTCAGTTTGCAGACAGCTTTAGTTAGGGGAGGAGGTGGTTTAATGCATTTGGGCACTGTACTTCATACACAGGAGTGTCAGAGCTCTGCAGCTCAGGTCATTGGAGCACATAGCTTTCTAAGGAATGCAGGTGGTACCAGAGTAGATGTCTTTCATCGCTTGTTCCACTGTGTCGACACTGTTCTCCTACCTATTCCCTCAGTCCCCAGCTTTCTCTGCTATGCATTCTCTTCACAGCGCAGCTTGCAGTCCATTGCTGAAAATGATTATAAAGCTCTGCATAGTGTTAAGCTTTATTGTGATTACACGTTTTCTTCTTTTTAAGGAGACCCATACCTTCCTAGGGTCCAAGTACAGGATAGACTACAAACTTATTTTTATCTATTTTACTCTGTAAAGACTTTACAAGTCTAATCCAGAGGTGGGCCAATTCAGAATCAGCTGTAATTGAACACAGGCTAAAAGTATTTATGGGAGGAGTGATACATAGCATGAGTTATTTGACTTTAATAGGGTATTTAAAACCTTCATTTGCAATTCATGTACAGTTGTGTCTTGAATTCACACAATAAAGCAGTCCTGTTCAAAAATTTTTTTTATTGTGGCTTGAAGAATTTAATTTTTTTAGTAATTGTAGGACTTTTCTTTTTTTGTTTGGTTGTTTTGTTTTTCATGTGGAATGCAGATGGGTGCTAGAAGAGCCTCCCCCATCACTATAGTGTAATAATACCATTATTACACCACACTGAAATGTATTCAGAAACAGATGTTTCAGCTTTATTCTTCAGAGGCGTTCCAGTTGTACTGATGATATTGTTCGCTGCACTGAATATATATATAAACACTCCAGTGTTTATTAGGGAAGAAGTATATTTGTAAAGGGTGAAGGCTGTATTTGTTGTCTTAAAAAAAAGAAACAACAAAAAACACTGGTTTATTTAAATTCTTTTGAGGGTGGAATGCATTTTTCTTGCTGTTCAGTGCTTTATCCTTCTCATCTTCGTTCTGTGGTCACAGTGACCTTAGCTGTGTAGCAGATTTTCCCAAATGTATGGAGTGCAAATAAACAGTTACTTAGCAAGAACTGAACATGATGTCTGCAGGTTTCTCCTTGAAGCAAATGTGTGGGGATCACTGCATTTCTAGAAATCTGTTTTCTTCACTCTCCATTGACATTGTATTTCATATCTATTTTCTTTCACTGGAGACGTCTTCACCCGAGCTGTAAGCTGATGGGTTTATTTATATCGTTGGTATTCATTGCCTTTTCAGGGTTCTAGTCCTCCCCTCCTCCCTCAGGTTTTCCTCAAAGCTGCAGCCTCCTTTGTTAAATGTCTGATACATAAGTGAATGACCAGCAGTTTTCAGCTATTAAAAAAACTTACAGGGCTGGTGTGGTAGCTCAGTTAGGTAGAGCTTCTGTCTAACCTGTGCAGGGCCTTAAGTTTCATGCCCAACACTAGATAAGAAAAAAGGTTCAGGTATTAGATGCTAGTTACCTGTCCCACTGTTTTAAAATGCCCACTCCATCAGTTGTGTTCCTGTTTCTTGTCCACAAAGTACTCTTCACTTTCCAGATTGTCACATTACTAAATGGTCACATTAAAGTCCTGTTATATGTCTACGTTTGACTGAACTTCATGATAACCTGTGTGTTTTACCGTCTGAATAATGGGTTAATCTTTTCATTGGCTATTATATGAAAGCTTGCTAATGTGCAGAAACTATAATGAATAGTGAAATAATTACCAATGAGTTTGATTCAGCCTTGTATTTATTTAGCTCTTTCCTCTGTCCAGTTGTGGTATAATAGTTTCTGTTGTATAAAATGGGTAACAGCTCGGAAGGGCAAGGGGGGAATGTGCTACTGGTTTTCTTTTTTTTTTTTTTTTCCTTGCGTGGGGTTTGAACCCAGTGCACGCTACGGTCAGCTCTTCTCTCCACGAGCTAAATTTTTTTTTTCTCTTTTTGAGACAGGGTCTCCTTGTAGCCCCAGCTGTCCTGGAACCCACTATGTAGACCGGGCTGGTAGACCAGGCTGGTCTCTCTGTCTGCCTCTACCTCCCAAGTGCTGGGATTTGAACCTGGTGCATGCTAGGTTAAGTGCTCTTATCACCGAGCTACACACCCAGTGCTTGTAATTAGTATTCTTTAAGATGCATGTGTATTAAATTTTTTTATTAGAAAATAATCTTTCCTCAGACTCTGTATTGAGGGATATTATTGAAAGTCATGCCAAGATATTTTATGTGTTAAGATTTTAAATTACTTAGTGAAGAGACATAAATATATACTGCACCTGGAGTTTTGGAGATGACAGTTCTGACCTGTAAACCCAGCACTCAGGAAGCAGAAGCAGAATTAGTGCAAGGCCAGCCTCAGCCAGATAATAAGTTTGAGGCCAGTTTGGGGTATCTGCCACCATGTTTCCAAAAAACCTCAAAAATAGAAAATAAAAGGTTTTAGGGTCGGAAGTGTACTCAGTGGTACTGGCAGTTGCCTAGCATGCATGAGGCCCTGGATTCGTCCCTCAGCACCACAGAAAATTTAAGTTTCTTTAACTGGAGTGTTAAATTTGAATGTCTGAAGCAGGGCTCATTGTGGCATTTTTGAGCCCTAGGCCCCCTCTACCTTTGTAGCCCACTTTCTCCTCCAAAAAACTTAGAATTCCTATTTTTCTACTGCATTTGTATGAAAACATTTTGATAAGTGTTAGCTTTTTTCCTTGTGATTTTAAAATAAAACCTTTTCATGAACCCCAGTAAGAGGTTAAGAGTAACATTTCTGAGCGGCTGGTGGTGTCCTGTAGTGCATCTGTGCATCCTAGCATCTGTGGAACCTTTTAGCAGTTGGGGCGTCTATATCTGTTCTGAGTATGTTGCTTACACACACACACACACCTGCCCCTTCGACTACTAGTTGCATCACTTGTTGGGGCGTCTATATCTGTTCTGAGTATGTTGCTTACACACACACACACACACCCGCCCCTTCGACTACTAGTTGCATCACTTGGTCCCAGCATTTCTGGATTGGAGTTGGCAGGACTCGATTTTGCACACTAAACTCGCCTAAGTGTAAGTGTGGATTGAAGTAACTAATCCCGGCTAATGGAGCCGGACACGAGTTCACATCTTTTGTTCTCCCCACGTAGTGAAATTTTGCTCTAAGTATGTGGCAACTGATAGTACCAAAGATTGAGAACAGCCTACATGGACACTCGTAAACAATTCTAACCAATTGTGGGGCGGCGTGTAGAGGGTAAAGATGGCTGACGCTGAAACCGTGTGGTTCCTTTCACTTCATCAAAGCCACATTCCCCAAGAGAAGGAAACTGCGAGGAGCTGCTCCAGGTCGGGCTCCGCTCCACTCTGACGCTCGCAATCTACCCCGCTCTCCTCGCGGACCCGGAAGTCACGGCCTGGAGGAAACGTCTAGGCTAGGGTCCCGTCAGTCTGCGGCGCTCTGGCTTCAAGTTCCGCCTAGGGGCTTCCCTTCGCGCCCCACTGGAGAGTTCCTTTTAAATGCCGCTCAGGAGCCGGAGCGGATCGCTTACGTGCCCGTCCCCACGCCCTCGGAGGGCCGGTTCTTCTGGATTGGCTAGAGCTCCTGTCCGTCAGTAGTGACGTACGAGTTCGCCGGCCCGGGCCCCGCCCTCTTCCGAGAGCCCCGAAAACAATTTTAAGATGGCGGCGGCAGCGGCGCGGAAAACAATGGGGCAGGGGCGGAGGGGACAGGCCAAGGCCTGAGGCGGGCCGAGAGCGCCGGCCTGGAGTCGGGCCGAGCGGGGCCGGAGGCAGATACGCCGCCGTGCGTGAGCGCTCCGCAGCCCGCCGGGCCATGGCGCGGCCGTGAGGCGGACCGGGGCCGCCGGGAGAAGCGGAGGAGCCCGAAGTGCCAGCCGGCGCCGAGAGGCCCGGGCCCGGCCCGTGCCGCCAGCGGCCCATGGTGCTGCCCACCTGCCCCATGGCGGAGTTCGCGCTGCCGCGGCACAGCGCGGTCATGGAGCGCCTCCGCCGGCGCATCGAGCTGTGCCGGCGCCACCACAGCACCTGCGAGGCCCGCTACGAGGCCGTGTCTCCCGAGCGCCTGGAGCTCGAGCGCCAGCACACCTTCGCGCTGCACCAGCGCTGCATCCAGGCCAAGGCCAAGCGCGCCGGCAAGCACCGGCAGCCGCCCGCCGCCGTCCCCGCGCCCCCCTCGGCCCCGGCGCCCGCCCCGGCCGCGCGTCTGGACGCCGCCGATGGCCCCGAGCACGGCCGCCCGGTCGCGGTGAGTAGGGCGGACTCTGCCGCAGCAGTCCCTTCTCCCTCTCCCGGCGCTCCTCTTCTGGGCTGGGTCCGGGGAGGCTAACATGGCAGGGAGCTGAGTGCTTGTCATCCTCGGGAAGTGGCTCTGTGCTACTTGGGAAAACATTACCGTGAGGACTGCGTGAGGCCCGGGCTGGGGAGGCAGGAGGAACCTTAGCTGCTGATAGGGCTTTTTCCAAACTTGATTCCGAACTGTAGAGAACTTCATTCTGGAACAGACCAGCCAGCCTTGGAGCTGCCTGCGACGTAGGGAGCTCGCGCACTGTAGGCCCGGCCTCGGTTACTCTGCAAATGTTGATTGGATCCTCGCTCCCTGGAAGGTCCTGCGCTGTAGGCAGGGTCAGGGCTTTAATATGGAAATAAGTCGGTCTTCTGTTGACTAAATCAAACGGCTTCTGAATGGAAAATCGAAAAGCCTTCGGCAGCCTTAGTAAACTGCTTAGTGCTGCTCATTGAGTTGCATAAAAAGTAGTCCTTTTTTAGGGAACCCTGAAATTTGTGATTCCTGACAATTACAGTTTTAACCTATGAAGCCTGTTTAAAATCTCTGACAGTATTAGGTAGTTATGGGAGTGGTGACATTATATAGTTGTTGGTAAGTTGTTCGCTCCTTGGTTTTTAGTAGCTAATACTGAAAACTTTTTGTGGTTAGAAGTTATTTGTCCCTGAACAATGATTTATTAAAAGGGAGACAAATTTTGTGCGTGCGTGTTTTGATTTGGGGTATGTTATTCTTGGTAATTTAAACGTTTAAAAGTAAAATGTTGCTCGCTGGGCGTGGTGGCGCACACCTTTAATCCCAGCACTCGGGAGGCAGAGGCAGGCAGATCTCTGTGAGTTCAAGGCCAGCCTGGTCTACATAGTAAGTTCCAGGACAGCTGGGGCTACAGGGAGGCCCTGTCTCAAAAAGACCAAAAATAAAAATAAAATAAATAAAATGTTGCTAATCTTAAATTGTTCGCTATTTTTAATTCATGCCTTTTTTCTTTAGTTGCCTCTCACCTGGGCTGTTTTAATACTCTACCCTAACTAGTCTGGAGGCTTTGGTCTCTTTACTCCCTTCCTCTGAAACGAAGAAACCCTCTTGCTGCAGGGAATGAAGTTTAATCTTTGGATGGCTTTTGGGACCAGTCTGACCTAACCTATCTTCCCTGCCCTCACAGGCTTAGTTTCTTTCTCTCCCACACCAGCTGGACTAGAAGACAGAATACTTTCTGTCCTCATTTCTCTCCCCTGTGAACTGGGGTGGGGGGGTGGGGGGCGCAGGGAGAGGATTTTGGGCTTCTTAGAAGGTTTCTTATAATATCTAAGAAATGAGTATGGATGGGAGAGTATTTCAAACTGAAGGCTGCCTTCAGGACCTTCCTCAACACCTTCCAAAACCCTGCTGCCCTTCATTCAGTCCCAGACCACCTTCCTTTGCTTTACAGCTATAAAAAAAAACCCAGCCGGCAACAGAATCCTCATCAATACATTTATGAAACAGACTGGGTATGCCCTTTACTTTTAGTACAGTCACATATTACTTTAGTCATACCATCTGCCAAGTAGACTGTAAGCTCTTGGAGTCCAAAAACGCTTGGGCTCAGAGTCCCATACATATTTTAGGTTGTCTTTGTGTTTGTTGAGTGACTTGATACTAAACTTGGTTGTGCCTTACCCATAATGACTTAACTGAATGAGTCACCTTTACTAACAAATCTACTTTAAGGAAAGACATCCACCCCTCCCCCAGTCCCTGCTAGGGATTAGACCCAGGGCCTTGTACATTATTACTAGGCAAGTATTCTACCACTGAACCATGATCCTAGCCCTAAGGAAAGACTTTAAGACTAGTGGTGGCCATCCTCATTGAAATAAATTATGAAAACTCATAGAAAACCATACTTATACACACATAATTGCTTTGAACAGCCCTTAGAGCATTCATAGTGATTCAATTTCGGTTTAAAATTACAGTAAAAGTGGGGCTGGAGAGATGGCTTAGCAGTTGAGAGCACTGACTACTCTTGCAGAGGACCCAGCACCCACATGGCAGCTAACAACTGTCTATAATTCCAGTTCCAGGCTATACAACACCCTCTTCTGGCCTCTGTAGACCTTGCACAACATGGTGCACTTACACACATGCAGGCAATACACTCATACACATAAAATTAAAAAGAAATTATGGTAAAAGTTTAGAATGTATATAATTTTACTTTTACTTTTTTTTTTTTTGGTCTTTTTGAGACAGGGTCTCCCTGTAGCCCCAGCTGGCCTTGTTGTGAGCACTCAACTTGAAGTTTTCTACTGCTTCTCTGCTACTTATTATATATTCTTCTACTGACTTTCTATATACTTAATAAACTTACTCATTCAAAACCAAAAGCATGGAGGGTAGAGAGATGGCTCTGGGGTTAAAAGCACTTGCTGCTCTTGCAGAGGGCCCAAGTTTGATCTCCAGCTCTCACAAGGCAGCTCACAACCTCTGTAACTCCAGTTCTGGGGGATTTATACCTTCTTCTGGCCTCCACAGGCACTGCATGCAAGTGATGCACATACCTACATGCAGGCAATACACACATACACATAAAAATAATAAAATCTTTTTTTTTAATTTGCTGAATCACTGAAGAGAAATCAAGTTCCCATCCAGTGGTTTTTTTTTGGGGGGGGGTTGTTTGTTCGTTTGTTTGTTTTTTGTTTTTGGTCTTTTTGAGACAGGGACTCCCTCTAGCCCCAGCTGGCCTGGATTCCCTGTGGAGACCAGGCTGGCCTCGAACTCCCAGAGATCCACCTGCCTCTGCCTCCTGAGTGTCAGGATTAAAGGTGTGAGCTACCACGCCCAGCTTTTTTTTTTTTTTTTTTTCCTGTCTTTTTTGAGACAGGGTCTCCTTGTAGCCCCAGCTGTCCTGGAACTCACTGTGTAGACCAGGCTGGCCTTGAACTCACAAAAATCTGCCTGCCTCTGCCTCCCAAGTGCTGGGATTAAAGGCATGCGCCACCATGCCTGGCTCATCCAGTGTTCTTTAAAAAAATGAATTCTGAGTGTGTTAGAACTTGAATCTGACTGAATGTGTCTGAATGTGTTGGTACATGACTGTGAAGCAGGCAGATAACTGCAAGTTCAAGGTCAGCCAAGTCTATATGGCTAGGCCAACCAGGGCTATGTTGGGAGACCCTATCTCAGAAATAAAAAGTAACTTGAATCTAACTTGTCACTAACTCCTTTGAGTATCAGAGCCTGACAAGATGTGCCATGTGACCTGGATGTCTTAATCACATTAAACCTTGGCCTGAGGGTCTCATGAATTTAAACTTTAGAGCGGGTAGTGTGCACTTCTTTATCTCTTCAGGGAGGAAGGACAGGACCCTTTCACTCAGACTCCAGGTGGTATGCTTCTAGCTGAGCTGCTCAGCCTTGGAATGGGGCGCAGAAGATGAGAATCACTAAGAAAACAGTGGTGGTTTCCATTTTAGTGGCTCCTTCAGGGAGGAAGAGTCTTTAACTATATAGAATTTTGACTCAGCACAGCTTTGAATTTTTTTATATTTTATTTATTATTTTTTAATTTTATATGTACAAGTGTATTGCCTGCATGCATGACAGTGCACCTGTGTTACGCAATGTCTTCGAGGTCAGAAGAGGGCTTCGGATTTCCCTGGGACCGGAGCCAAGGACAGTTCGTAGCTGCCATGTGGGTGCTGGGAATTGAACCCGGGTCCTCTGCAAGATCAGTCAGTGCTCTCAACCGCCGAGCCATCTCTCCAGCCCCAGCTTTGAATTTTTTAATTACGTTTTGTGTGTGTGTGTGTGCATGCACACATGCCATGGCATGAATGTGGAGATCAGAAGACAACTTGCTAGAGTCTCTTCTCTCCTTCCATCATGTCGGTCTCAGAGATCGAACTCAGGTCTTCAGGCATGATGGCAAGCAGCTGTACTTGCTGAGCCATTTTGACAGCCCAGAAGCATAGCTTTTCATAGCGACGAAAGAAGAAAGGCACCTCTTAGTCATGATTTTTGACAATTGTGTGTTTGTTTGATCTCAGTCATTACAGAAAGACTTATTTATTGTTGTTTGGGTTTTGGGGTATGGTTTGGTTTGGTTTGGGGTTTTGTTGTTATGTTTTTGAGACGGTCTCTCTATAGCCCCAGCTGGTCCAAAACTCCTATGTAGACCAGGCTGGTTTCAAACTGACAGATAGCTGCCTGCCTCTGCCTCTCAAGTGCTGGGATCAAAGGCGTATACCACTACACCTGGCTAGATTATTAATTTTTTTTTCAAACTCTTAGAGGCAGTTACTTCACAGCCAAAGTTCTGTAATTTCTGACTGAGAAGGGATCAGATACTACTAATAAGGGTTCTCCTGAACCTCAGATTGCTTTTTTCTATTTAGGGTAT